ATCGATCAAATGGCTCCCTATAATGTCATGCAAGATTTGTTACAAATGCCTTCTTCTGCAAAAATTGGTCAGCTTTTGCAATACCCAAATCAGAGACATAACCTTGCCTCAAGGGTTGAGGAGACCAAAAATTCAAGAAACAAATTATGCTAATCAAGAAAGTGATAAAGAAAAAGAAGACAAATCTACAGCCGTTTATTGCTATGTTAGAATAAAGGAAACCCTGTTGTTGCTATCTTAGATTCTGAAGCTGCTGTTAGCATTATCACCAGAAAGTTAATAAAGAAAGTAGGATTATCTATTGATGAATAGTCTAATACTGTTGTAGTTACTGCTAATGGAGAAAGAACTAGAACATTAGGACAAGTTAAAAGAGCTCAAATTGCCTTCCAAAACCTATTAATTCCTATCTCTCTACAAGTCATCGACTCACAAGATGAAACCTTAATTTTAGGAATGGATTGGTTTAGAAAAACTTACGCTAGCCTTGATTTCAGAACCAACCAAATTAGATTAAGATATTTAGCAAAAACAATTACAGTTCCTGTAACTTCTAGTGCAAATGAAGTCCCTATTAGTTATCCTACTACTCAAGATCAACAGGATGAAGAACTAGAACAAGTTTTAGACGATTATGAGGAAAAGGAACTTAGCGAAATCGAAGCGTATATGGCAGACAGTCAGGAAGAATATGAGGAGGAAACTGACCTTCTACCCCTCGACTACAACCCCTGGAATGAAGAAAATCATGTCTATTTAACTCTGGTATTTAAAGAAGAATTTGAAGCTAATCCAGCAGTATTTCTTGCTGAAACTTCTAAAGAAAATATTTGGAAAATTAAGGATAACCTTCAAGTTGGACCTCTTGATGACAAACAGCAAATGTCCTTTCAAAAATTAATTGATGATTATGAAGATATATGCGCTTTAAGCCAAACAAAAATTGGACGAACTAGCTTAGTAAAACATAATATTTTGACCAATAATTATGATCCGGTTACCACAGGTGCTTATAAATGCAAAGATCCAGTAAAGCTTAATTTTCTCAAGAATGAAATCAAATGTATGGAAGAAAATGGAATTATCAGGAAGTCGTTAAGTCTCTGGACTTCTCCTGTAGTTATAGTAGTAAAGAAAACTGGAGATAAACGAATCTGTATTGATTATAGAAAGCTAAATTCTATTTCTAAAAGTGATGCATACCCTCTACCGAGAATTGATGATTTACTAGAGAAATTTAGAGGAGCAAATTGGTTTTCTACACTTGACCTTGCTAGTGGTTATTGGCAGGTAGTAATGAGTGAAAAGATAAGGAAAAAACTGCTTTTATTTTGCAGTTTGGTCTATACGAATTCAATGTTATGCCCTTTAGACTAAAGAATGCATCAGCAACCTTTCAAAGATTAATGAACCATATCCTCCAAGAATTCTTATATGAATTTGTTGCTATTTATTTGGACGATATTATCATTTATTCAACAACTTATGAGAATCATATTCAACATTTGAGAAAAGTATTCCAAGCGATCAAGCAAGCGAATCTAATGATTAAGCTTAAAAAGTGTCATTTTTGCCTACCTAATATAACGTATTTAGGACATGTAGTTGGAAGAAATGGATTACAACCCGACCCTGCAAAAATTGATAAAGTTAAAAGCTTTCCCATTCCAGTTGACCTAACAAGTTTGAGGTC